CCTGAGCCAAGGTGTGAAACTGGGTGTGGGTCCCAATCAGTCAGCCAGTTCGGCAACCTCACACACGACAGGTTGAGGTTAGGTCTCAGAGTGATTTCACTCATAACCTTTGGTGATGACCAACTCCTGTTTCCACACCTTGGCTCCTGCGATAATGCACATGATTAATTGTGGGTCAACGACCTCCTTCAGGAACAACCCTCACCAGGGTTTAAATACCCAGGGTTTAAATACCCAGGGTTTAAATTGTTTTAAGACTGAAAAAGCCTCTTAAGAAGTGAAACATCTTTACAAAACTTCATGAAGTCCAGTTACTTTTCCCCCCAAAGCTGCTGAGAGTTGCCTTGGACTTGGTTGCCTGACCAAGTTTTTTCCATCAAGCTTCTGGAGCTTCTTGATTTTTCTTGATCAAAGTTCAGAGATATCAATACGAAACAAATAACCCAGCTGTGTAAAGGGGATGTAGCTCAGTGGTAGAGCGCGTGCTTCGCATGTATGATGTCCTGGGTTCAATCCCCAGCATCTCCAGGTTTTATACCATCAACTTCCAATATATTGAACCTTTGCAAAGCTGCCATCAGTTTGCTCCTGCAAGCTTTGAAAACAGATGCTTTTCCACACACACACCTGTTGAGTTCCCAGCCCTGCACACTAACAGAAACAAACATCAGCTCAACTCAAACACACTCTCACAGCACCTCTTTCGTCCCTTCTTCGAGTGACCAATGACAGCTACATGCACACGCCCATGCTCAGCCTCAGATGCTGAATATTTTATCAAAATGGTCACATGGTTTCAGCTCTGAATGATTAAACACGGCCATCTCCTCTCGTCACATATCCACCAGCTCTGCGTTGGACGGAGGAATCTGCCTCAGGAAGGAAACTGAACAGCAAGTGAGTGTGTTGCCTGTGTGCTCTGGTGTGCACGTTCAGACTGCGTGATTTGTGTTTTCATCAGTTTTTAAGCCTCAGACTGTCTCTTTGCTCTTTTGAACCTAGGCTGTTTTTGTAGGGCTGATTTCAGTTTAGGTGTTGACTGAACTTGTATGTTTGAGTATGAAGCTCTAAAACAGATCAGAGCTTTCGACGTGTAGGTGTAGAAGTTCGCCTGTGCGTGATTAAGTTTTAGACTCCATGTCCGAACCTTTCCATCATGAAACAGGATCCTCCTTGGACATCATTAAAGTTTCAGAGAGGGAGTCTCGCTCTAGTGAGTGAGGAGAACTGCTGATGGTATCCCAGCTTCATTAGCATGGAACGACTTTAAAACACACCAGCAGGACCAGAGGCTTCAAAGTTTCAAATGGCTGTGAACGTTTCTTTTGGAAAGCTTGAATACAGAAATGATTAGACACTAAGTGACTACTATGATACTCAAAGTAAGAGATTTAAAGTAACTGCTAAGAGATTCAAAACAACAACAACAAATACCATCCGAGGAACTTCCTAACCACAAAGAGACTCCACGCAATCACAAAAAGAAACAAATGACCAGAAATGCACTCAGAATCACTGCACAGAGACTTGTTTAAACTACTTTCGTCTACCCCCTTGTCATAACAGGGCACTGTAGTGGCTAACTCTTTGTTTTGGCAGAGTTTATATGCAGATGCCCTTCCTTATGTTACCCTACAGGGGGTAGAATCAAACAAGCAATCTTACGCTTCGTCAAATGACCACAGATAGACTAAAAAATGACTCAAAGAATCAAAAAAGAGTCAAACTGCTGTCAACAGACTTAAATGATCGTAAAGAGCCTCAAAGAAAACTTAAATAAACACAATGAAGAGATCCAATCATGTTATCTATCAAACCCTCCACTGTAATCCATGAAGTGCTGCAGTCTGTTCCTTTTCTTTTCACAGAGTTTCTGCACCCTCTTTAGACTTCTGTTTCATGGAGACTGATGATGATGTGAAAGTATGAGACAGTGACAGGAGGAAGCTGGAAGGAGTGCACAACTCACCAACATTAACAGGTATTAACCAGGGTTAGCGATGGCGGCGTGGCTTGGTCGGGTATCACTGGGGGATGCCTGGTACAACATGTACTCTCGCTTGCTGAGGACCAAACCTGTGGGCTCCATGGCCCACAGCTCAGACGACCTCACAGAGCTCGCGGAGGGGTCGGCGGTCGGGCTGGCCAAAGTCCTCACCACTGTGGACCTGGTCTCCCTCGGTGTGGGAAGCTGTGTTGGCACAGGGATGTATGTCGTTGCGGGGCTGGTTGCTAACGCGATGGCTGGGCCTGGGGTCATTCTGTCCTTCATAATTGCAGCGGTGGCGTCCATACTGTCAGGTAAGCAAAAGTCTTTAAGCATTCTAACCAACCAAACAAAAGATTTAGAACAATCTGGCCACATGTGTGTCTTTTGCGTGAAGGTGTGTGCTACGCAGAGTTCGGTGTGCGGGTCCCCAAAACGACCGGTTCGGCGTACACCTACAGTTATGTGACTGTTGGAGAATTTGTGGCGTTCTTCATTGGCTGGAACCTGATCCTGGAGTACCTGATCGGCACAGCGGCAGGCGCTTCAGCTCTCAGCAACATGTTCGACTCGCTGGCCAATCACAGCATCAGTGACTTCATGATAACACACCTGGGCACGGTCAGAGGCCTCGGTCAGTGCCTCCAAAACTGCTTTTGTGATTTGTTTACCATTTGCAGTTTATTTACTTATCTGTTAGAGAGGATAAACAGTTATGTCAAAGAAGATTTACCTCTAAGCTCATTTATGTTATGTTGAATAATAAAAACAATAGTTAATACCTGATGCTTAAACTCTTTGTCCTTCTGTCTCAGGTAAAGGCGAGGACACGTATCTTGACGTTCTGGCTTTGTTCATTGCCCTGGTGGTCACTGCTGTAATCGCTCTTGGAGTGCGTAACACTGTGGGCTTCAACAATGTCCTGAATGTGGTCAACCTGGTGGTCTGGGTCTTCATGATTATCGCCGGACTCTTCTTCATCTCTAGCAGCAACTGGGAGGGTGGCAAGTTCCTCCCGTATGGCTGGTCGGGGGTGAGAAACTGTTTTGCTAAAGGGGCTCTATCAACTAATTTCCAGCTTCCAATCAAGAGGTTACATTCTTTTTTGGAAGATGGGTGCCTTTCTCTGAATGTGCTTCTGTACCTGTCAAAATGGAGTTCTTTCTCCCCAGTGTCACCAATTGCTTGGTCACAGGAAACTGTATGATTGCTGGGATTCCCTGTCAAATATTCTTTCCTATATAAAGCATCTTGAGATGACTGTGTTGTGAATTCAGGCAAATTTAAATTGAATTTTATAAATAGATTGAAAAGTGAAAGTTAAAGAGTCAACTTTTGAGCAATTACAAAGGCTTAAAGTCATCTTGCATGAGTTAGCTTAGCGTTAGCTTTACCCACTGAGCAAATATCTGTTGATCTGAGGTCTGAGGCATTTTTAAACTGCTCAGATCTAAAGTTTGGGTTTAGAGATCACCTAGTCATTTTTTCAGAAAAGCAAAAGCATCAAAGCAAACAAACGAGCAGTTCAAGACTTTACATTTTGATCAGTTGTAAAGGGGACATGCACTTCCCAAAAAGCTAACCCACAGACGCTATGACATCAGAAAGATAAAAGAAAGAAAAAAAAGCCTGAACCTTTTACTGACTAGAATTTTTTGTGAATGCACTGACTTCATTATTTTAAACAAGTATCCATGTTTAACATGGGAATCTAGCATTAGAACAGCATAATCTTTATATTACAGAGACCAAACAAAAGCAGAATAGGTGCACTTTTTTAAGATGTAAACTGTGAGATCTGTTAGTAAC